TGCTCTGTTTACCTAACTAGCTAGTTCAAAGCTCTAGCTTCCTTTTTGCTGCCTGTTTTTTAGCATTACGCTCTTTTGTTTTACCTTAAGACTCTAGATTGCATGTCTTTTTTTTTTTTTTTTTTTTTTTGAGACGGAGGCTCGCTCTGTGGCCCAGGCTGGAGTGCAGTGGCCGGATCTCAGCTCACTGCAAGCTCCGCCTCCCGGGTTCACGCCATTCTCCCGTCTCAGCCTCCCGAGTAGCTGGGACTACAGGCGCCCGCCATCTCGCCCGGCTAGTTTTTTGTATTTTTTTAGTAGAGATGGGGTTTCACCGTGTTAGCCAGGATGGTCTGGATCTCCTGACCTCGTGATCCGCCCGTCTCGGCCTCCCAAAGTGCTGGGATTACAGGCTTGAGCCACCGCGCCCGGCCTATATTGCATGTCTTATTTGAAAATCTAAAGTTTAAAATGCAGCCTCATAATGTATCTATTTGCTTAATTTAAAACATTTAAGAAAAAGTGATAGGTTCTGCTCCTTAGCTATTGATAGGGTAAAGAACACAGGGACAGGAGGGGACAGAAGAGCTTCTTGGAGGGAAGATCAGATCCTACTTCTCAGGATTTCACTCCTCAAACCTAGAAAACCAGAACTGGTGAAGAGGAAATAATAAAGGCAGGCATACAACTGATACCCTCTCCCCAGAAAGCAAAACACATAGGTTTGTCCTACGTGTCCTACATAAGACGAGCAGGGCTGCGAACTACCTCTTATGTGTTATCTTCCAAGTGACATTATCAGCTCACAGCACAATATAGGTGTTGCCTCTGAGGTTCATTGCTATGCATTTCTTTCCTTATTCTCTACTTCTTGTGTGAAGATTTTCTTCTCTCTCAGGGCACACATGAGCACGGTGGTTTCCTGTTACAGAATGTTCTCCCAGCCTAACATGGAAGAAGCTCGTAGATGCATGCCACTCTCTTTGCTTTGTGGTTTCTCAAGATATTTTTTTGAGGGAAGGCCTGACTTATAACATTTTATAAATAACTAATGGGAATTTTGGCAAACTCATAAGAAGCATTTCTTGAATTTCTAAACATAAGTGGTTTTTAATTGCTTTTCCTCAGATGGTTAGAGAGGGGCCTTTTGGTTAAAAAAAAAATTCATTACAGTGTTTGAACTTGGCAGTGATGAAGTGACAGTCACAAATATAATTTTCACATTGGTTAAAAAGTTTCAAGTTGAGAAAAAGAATTCTTTAGGCAACACTGCAGTCTGATCTTATTCAGGTATCTAATACACATGTGCATTTATTCATTCATCCATTTATTCATCACACACCAAATATATTCAGTGTCTACTGCTGTATATGTTAGGCACACAGTGGTCAAGAAGACAGATGAGAACCCTTGGGGGTTACATTTCAATATGGGGCAATTATTGGTGGCTACAAGTGGGTTCATGCAATTATTGGTGGTAGGATTTGAGCTGGCCTGAAGCACAATACTCAGACACCACCCCTTCTGTCTGCCACTCTCACTATCCTGAGGGAGGGGAAGGGATTCCAAAATTTCAACACTTCATTTTCCTGTATTAAGTTGTGAATGCAAATGATTGATGTTCCAGTCACTCAATGTCTCATGAGAAAAAAAAGAATTTAGTGCAGAATCTAACATACATCATGTCTATGATATAAAATTATGCCACAGAAAAGTAATATGTGCTGAGAACAAAAAAACCTAACTTTTATTCTTTCTTTTTTCCTTTATGACCTGGGCAATCCAATTTGATGAATCAAAATTTGGCTGGGCGCAGTGGCTTATGCCTCCTGTAATCCCAGTACTTTGGGAGGCAGACAGATCACTTGAGGTCAGGAGTTCAAGACCAGCCTGGCCAACATGGTGAAACCCTGCCTCTGCTACAAGTACAAAAATTAACCAGGCGTGGTGGTTAACCAGGTGCCTATAATCCCAGCTACTCAGGAGGCTGAGGCAGAAGAATCACTTGAGCCTGGGAGGCAGAGGTTGCAGTGAGCCATGATTGTGCCACTGCACTCCAGCCTAGGTGACAGAGTGAGATTCCGTCTCAAAAAAAAAAAAAAAAAAAATTAACGGCCAGAGTTGTATAGGCATGCAATTGTGAACACCTTTCTTGGTCCGTAGTGTCCTACATGAGAGAAAAGAAACACACACACATAAACCTATAGATGAATACTTTACAGCAATATGCTCTAGATACACAAATGTCTAGGAGGTAGTATTTGTACTAGATCCTCAAACAGTCATATTTTTACAAAGAAAGAGATAATGAGTAAAGACATTGTAAAAAGAGAACTAATCATGAGCAAGGCACAAGTTGAGAAATGAGGGATACAAGGAGATTGGGGAAATTAGTACAGAAGGCACCCAACTTAAGATGGTTTGATCTATGATATTTCAACTTTATGATGGTGTCAAAGAAATATGCATTCAGTGTGCTCCTACACTTATGAGATTACATCCCAATAAACTTATTTTAAGTTGAAAATGCGGCAAATGGAAAATGTTCTTTTGATTTATAGAATTTTCAATTTACCATGGCTTTATCAGGATGTAACCCGAGTCAAGAAGCATCTGTATTTAAATGTGATTTTTGTGTTTAGAATTTATCCTCTAAAACCATAGAAAGCTCTTAGGCAAGAGAATGGCATGATCACATCTGCTCTTTGGTGGCCCTTGAAAAGAGAGAAGAGGAAAGAAATTGGAAGCACAAACACCACTGGAGCTGAATGATGCTGAAGATTTAATCTGGGGTACTGGTGGGGGGAATATTGATCAGGGATGAAGTGAAGAGTGAGAACAGCTGACATAGGGTACACCTCAACCTCATGAACGCTTGGATTGGGAGTAGCAGAAGCAGAAGTACATTCACCAGTGTCCTGCAGTTCTTTCAAGTCATCTGAAGCTTTTTAAAAACATGCATTATGGGCCGGGCACGGTGGCTCAAGCCTGTAATCGAAGCACTTTGGGAGGCCGAGGCGGGAGGATCACGAGATCAAGAGATTGAGACCATCCTGACTAACACGGTGAAACCCCGTCTCTACTAAAAATACGCAAAAGATTAGCCGGGCGTGGTGGCGAGCGCCTGTAGTCCCAGCTACTCGGGAGGCTGAGGCAGGAGAATGGCGGGTAGCGCCTGTAGTCCCAGCTACTCGGGAGGCGGGGCTTGCAGTGAGCTGAGATCGCGCTCCAGCCTGGGCAGCAGGGCAAGACTTCGTCTCAAAAAAAAAAAAAAAAAAAAAAAAAACCATGCATCGTGTGATGTGTTTTACAGGCATTAGCCCACTCCTTACGTTCACCGTGTCTTGACTTGCATTCAAGGGTGTGGGTGGGGAGAGCAGCTGATTCATCTTGCACTTTCTCATAGAAGCACAGTCCTTTTAGTCTCTGTTTTAAAAGGCTACATATGACTGCACTGGGAAGGCATCAAATGACTACAGTACAAACAAAGTATTTAATGAATGAAATTGTATTTACAATTCTCAAAAGTATGGCAGTTTTTGGCAACAAATAGAGGATGCTATGCAAAGAAGACAGAGAAACCAAGGATTCTCTGTTTCAAGCCTAAGTAAGTAGAAGAAGGGCACCATTGTTTAAGTAACGCAGGAGAACCTGATTTGATTTGCTAGTATGTGTTTGTCTTTTTGCATGAGTTTAAAGTGCTAGGTTAACAAGGGGCTCGCAGGAGAGCTGATATAAGAGCTGTAGGTTTATATGGGCATCAGGTAACTTCTTAGGACTCTGAGTATTTAAGGAGGTAGAAAACATGATGATTCTAGGCACAAACAAGGGAAAGCATTTTATTTGGGGAATGGTACTAAAGGGGCTGATAAGAGCAAAGACAATTGTCAAGACTTCAATCTGGAATCCAGGAATGGAGATGGAGACAAAAGGGAAGCCTGTAGTCAAAGTCAGATTTGGCAAAAGAGAATTGAGATCCAAGATAAAATGTCTTAAGATGGGAATAGAGAAAAAGTGATGATTACCAGGAGCCCCCAAACACACACTGCACGGAACAGAAGATCTTGCTTTCCATTTGCTGAAGCAGCACCAGCCATTTCTTTGGGAAACTCTTTATGATTTTGCCTCCTTGAGCATTTTACCTGCCTTTTCAGTTAAGCATCAAGATTTATCACACTGACTTCTGGCTATGTAACTTCCTGAATACTACAAATGAGAGACCTGGAAGCTACTATGAGCCATGAAATTCCCAAAGGCCATCACTGGTGAAATACTGGTCAGGCTTCTGGGAAAGATGAATAAGAGCATCGTGGCAAGATGTCAGCAGTAAAGCAGAGTGGAGACTGAAGCTACAATTATTCCCAACTCAGGCATTCTCTTCTCATAGAACAATAGCAGTGGCTAAGGTACATGATTGAGTGCTAACTCTATGCCAACTCTTTTCATGAATTAACTCTGACCAAGCCCTGTCAAGTAGACTCCTCTACCCTCCTCAGTACAGGTCCTACAAGTAAGGAAACTAAGCACAGAAAGCTTAAGTGACTTCTCAAATCCCACAGCTGGTAACGATGGAGCCGGGATTTGCATCAAGATGCTTACTCGGAAGTCTTAGCACTTAGGGTTACTATGACGACTGCCAAACAGCCATGATCTCCCAGGCAAGTGACTGCTAATGTTTAGCTGGACAGCTAGAGAAGAAGCCGAGGAAGGGATTGACAGGGAGAATCTAAAACACACATAATTTTCATAGGGTGTTAGACTCAGTGCCCATTTTAAGAAGCAGATGTTCTGCTTTTCATCCAATTTGAACCTAATAGTTTCACAGTGTTTCAGCCTAGGCAATCCCATACAAATGCCTCAGCAATCTTTGCACTACATATTCTGGAAAACTGAACATATAAGACCCAGTCATCAGGTGATCATTATGAAGAGACATATTCTACTGTGAAAAGAAAAATCTTTTCAGTATCTTATTTTCTTAATTGACCTTTTGTTAACATGAAATGAGTTGTACATGTGACTTGTTTAAAATCATTTATTATTATCAGGAGTGCCTTTTAGGTGGACCACTCTGCATGACTCTCATGCTTCAAAACTATTTTTTATTCAAGTGACTTACAATGGCCCTAGGAAACAAGTTCTGCTATTATCCCCCATTTTAAAATGATGAAAATGGACAAAGAGAAAGCAGACAACTTAACCAATACCCCATGGCATCACAGTTTTTAGAACAGTCATATTATATAAATATGGTAATAACAATGCACTGAAAATGTCTCCAAAACAAACTTTACATTTTAAAAAATGTATAACAGGAATCTAAGGAAGGAGTCTTACTTCTCTAACTCAGAAAGTATAAAATCCCTTAAACTCATATCAGACCTGTGATTAACAAACTCACACTAGGTTTTAAAAACTGCTGAATTTACTTTATCATGACTAGCAATATATAAGAATTTTGTAAATAGTTTATTAAAAACAACTTTGGGAAACTATTTTTGCCTGATCAGCAATACAACTACTGATAAAATAAGCTGGTTATCAAATAATTACCCAATGTTAATCTTCCAAATAATTGTTATAACCAAATCTTGTGAATTCAAGACAGGCACATTATAGATAATCACAAATATTAGAAACACATTTAAAATGTCCATATGTTTAGTATACCTAGAAAATTCATTGACTAAAGTAAGTCATGAAACCTGGACTGGAATTTTTTGGGTATTAAGTTTCATTTTGTCTTACTGTTTTAAAATTTAAATAGTTTGGCTCATTTCTATATTTGTTAAAATTGTAATCTTAAAATATTAAAAAAATAACTTTTCACACACATAGATATGACTAGCCATTTTATCTAAGTTATAAAATAGTTACCCCAGGGAGCTTTCAAGATCCCTGTATTTTAAAGCTTATTTCAAAAACCATCACTACTTTGCATTTTTAAACTGCATCCTTGCATTAAAGAACTGTAAATGTGTTGTCATACAGTAAATATCCACATCCCAATTCTAATTACACCATTCCTGTTGTTAATATAGAGCATTGCTTCTAATAAAAGCATGACGTAGTTCTACAGTTTCAATGGCAAAATTAAACGTTCTTTGTTGAAGAGATAATGAAGCAATCACCAAGATATTTGAAACAACAAAGTTAACATTACAATGATTTCAAGAAAAAACAGAATATATACACTTACATAAAACAAAAAAAGGAATAATTCACTTTATGAGAGAAGAGAGACAGATTTTTAAAATATTTGGATTCTTTAGCCCATATGGAAATAAAAAAAAAAAAAAAAAACAGAAGAGAGAAACAGAACAAGAGAAAGAGAGAGATGCTACTTGACATTTTAAAGACCAAAAACTTGCAGTAGTAAAAATACATTCTGAAAGTATTTTAAAACTTACATTTCACTGGCAAAAGTAGGTAACAAGGAGACATAGATTCAGTGCAGGATTTTATATACAATAAAACCTAAAACTAAACTCCACCAAAATGAAATTGCAATAATAGTCAGTGCCTCGCTAGAAATCTCCCTTTGCACTATGAAAAAGGCCACAGTACAAGAATTAAATAATAGCAAGAATGCAGTCTACACACTTTGGATGTTTAGGAAAACAACAGTTTCCAAGCACCGCATGAACATGTAATTAACTGGAGAAAATGTTAAAGCAAGGTCTCTACAATTTTGCTTTAGGTTGTGCTTCAAATAGTCTATAATATGGACTTGAATTAATTACATTTTATTGCACTATAAATTGGCTGTTGTCATTATACCCAAATGTAACAAATAAGGCACTTTATCTGTAGATCTCCTTGGATAGAAGATAACTTAAAAATACGTAAAAATTAAAACATTTGTGTACTTGTTTATAGTGTCTCTCTGTAAATGTGCATTTGACCAAAGAGATTCTATCCAAATAATGAGAGAAAAATCCCCACAAATAGCATCCGCCGTTTTAACAAATTCTTGGTTTGTCATTTTTTAAAAAGTCACAAAGCCACTGGCTTTCATAGACTTATTAGGACACACTCATCTCTTCATGCATGCTTCTGCTAGTGTCCTAAATTTGGGCTCCAAATTATCCAAAAATTCAAGCCCATCTTCTTCTTGTCGTTCACTGCAACACCCTACAGACCCAGCCACCGATCCTCTTCCTTCATAGTTGTAGGTCAGGACGTAGTCTTGGGCATGCTTGTGATTTTCATCTTGATTACACAGATACACTTTCTGCCAAGGGGAAAAACACAATGTTTTTATTATTATTATTTTAAACACCAAAACGTACTAACATAAAAGTAATTGCTTTGATTTACCTTTCATTGTTTAATTTTTAATCAGAGTGTGTCCTCTAACGGATTCCTACACATAAAAAATGCACATGATTGGTCTGTTTCATACATCACACTATAAATTCAGTATAGCATGTTTCTAAAAGTCACGCATGTGGCAGCAAGTATACAGGTATTCATTTTACATAGTCATTATTTTCCCTTTCAACATTTTAGCTGAAAGTGACATGCATCCATTAAACTGAAGACAAATTGATGTGAGCTCAGATCTTCCCAGACAGACACAGTGATGGTACATGCTGGTCTTGCTGGTACCACATTTTTGGTTTCTAAGGCACAAGTTGTCAGATGGGAAATATTAGGACAAAGCCATGGGACAGTAATTTAAATATCATCACACACTATTTAAGTAATTCTTTCAATTAAAAAAAATACGAGGGCAAGTAAATAACCACTTAAATCTGAACTAACTAAATCAAAATTGAGGAAAAATCATAGCTTTCAATTAGTAGAATTAGTAGATTCATAATTAATTGAAAATTATGGTTAGAATCCAGTTAGTTATTTATAAAGTTTAAAAGAAATTAAAATAGATTGTAGGCCACTTAGGAAAACTCACTTCACCGAGACGGGGCTGAGTGAAACTGTGCCACTCCGAGTAGGTGTATCTGCAGTTGTCCACCTCCGTGTGTCCTCCCCTGCAGGAGTCCAGGGTGTGATGGTGCCCAGCCCCCCGGCAGGATTCCAAGGTCTGATGTCCTCCTTTCACCATTTCGATGGTCTCCTGACCTCCGTTTTTGACTCCTGATCCCATGGTGCCACAAACTCCCTGAGCAGAAGCACCCGCAGTTTGGGTTGTGAAGCCATTCGCAGAATACTGAAATGAAAACAATTTGCATTAGGGATAATACAGAGAGAAACAAAAAATTATGAAAAAGAACAGCATCAAGCGGATAATGCCATTTGTGTGTGTGTGCGCTAGAAGATAAGCTCTCTGAGAGCAGGAACTAAATCTATTTTGTCAATCCTGCGTACCCAACTATGGAAATCCCATAATTTAATGTAGTAGCCACACAAGCAAACTGTCAAGTGGTTGGTACCTGGAGATAAATTAGGAAGCTTGAGGTATATTCCTTCTTTAAAAATCTCTTAGAATACCTTCCCAGTGTGGTGGCTTATGCCTGTAATGCCAGCACTTTGGAGGCCGAGGCGGGCAGATCACTTGAAATCAGGAATTCAAGACTAGCCTCGCCAACATGGTGGAACTCCGTCTCTACTAAAAATACAAAAATCAGCTGGGCATGGCAGTAGGCACCTGTAATCCCAGCTACTCGGGAGGCTAAGGCACAAGAATCGCTCGAACCTGGAAGGCAGACTTTGCAGTGAGCTGTGATTGTGCCACTGCACTCCAGCCTTGGCGACAGAGTCAGACCTTGTCTCAAAAAAAAAAAAAAAAAAAAAAAAAAAAGGCCGGGCGCGGTGGCTCAAGCCTGTAATCCCAGCACTTTGGGAGGCCGAGACGGGCGGATCACGAGGTCAGGAGATCGAGACCATCCTGGCGAACACAGTGAAACCCCGTCTCTACTAAAAAGTACAAAAAAACTAGCTGGGCGAGGTGGCCAGCTAGTAGTCCCAGCTACTCGGGAGGCTGGGTCCCTGCTACTCGGGAGGCTGGGTCGCCTGTAGTCCCAGCTACTCGGGAGGCTGAGGCAGGAGAATGGCGTAAACCCGGGGGGCGGAGCTTGCAGTGAGCTGAGATCCGGCCACTGCACTCTAGCCTGGGCGACAGAGCGAGACTCCGTCTCAAAAAAAAAAAAAAAAAAAAAGCCTCTTAGAATACTGTACAACTTTAATTCTTCAATCCTTCCTATATCTCACACCTCAAAATAAACACTGTTGTCTCACATATACTTACTCTGTTTAGTTCAAATTAATTCCTTTTTACCTGACTAAAGCAGAAACAGAAGTAATGATCAATATTTCCATTTAGTATCTAGTTCAGTTACATTTCAACTACATCAAAAAGAATAAAACTATAATTGCCATAAAAATCTTGACTGCAATAATAAACCCTTGCCATCTAAATATATATTAATAAACTAGGCAGGGAAAATAACGAGAACGCTAAAGCTTTGGCCACTAGTTATTTACGTTGCGTTTCTGGAAACTCTAACATTATTTAAATTTTTGTTTTTCAGTACCTTCCTGGATACTGTCATGCTTTTGTTTTCTAAATCTTTCTTGCCCTAGTCATCAATTATACTTCTTATAGGGTATTTACTTGTTCCTCTTCCACATATTGAGCTAGAAAGCAAAGTTGGAGAAATGGCCACTTGCTAGCATTGCTATTTCATATATTAGGCCTCAGGCTCTTTCCTAACCCATATTAGAGCCAGAAAGAATCTATTAAAGTTCTTCCCACGATGATCAAAGCTTGTAGTGATTTTATTGTTGCCAGAAAAAGTGTAAAACCATGTTGGTGAACTGTGAATAATTAAAAGCAGCATTTTTACAGCACAAACAGCAGTTGAAATACATACAAAAGACAAGGCTTAAAGTTGAAACCATGAATCATTTGAAGTAGAAATAACAATGACATATTAAAGCGTTTTCACCATTTAGTAACACACTATGGTCAAATTTAAATACCATATATCGCCATGTAAATCAAAGTCATTTTATCTGTTTCAGGGTGACATTCTATGGTAAATTGCCTGATACCAAAAGAACTTTTCTGAGAAAAGGTAAGCTTAGAAGGAATATGCATTATAAGCAAATTCATCCTTTGTATTTATTTAAAAACCCAGATTACTTACCACTTTGTCATCTCCAGGAGCTTCTGTGTTTGATACAATTAGGTTCTGCTGGGCTAAATCATCAGGAATTACTTTCGGTTGTTTAGATATCCCAGAAGCCCCACAGACTAGCGTAAACAGGATGCCTGGAGGAAGAAAGAAATATACTTGAGTTTATCATAAAATAACGTGAAGTTATGTACAATGGTTAATACACAGATAAATCATAAATTAAAAAGTGCATATTAAAAGGAAACAGCTTTCCTGGGATTGCTTATGTCAAAGCAGTATACAAAAGTTTAAATAGATATGCTATTTAAACTTTTAAACAGATACGCTATAATTATGTTACATGTTCTGTTTCTGCATTGAATTTTATGTCTATGATAACTGGGAAGACACTAGAACTATACATAAATGCACTTAAAATATGTAAATTAAATATATTTATATATTAAATAAAAATACAGCTACATGCAAATGATCAGCTATAGGAAATAGCACTGATTCTTAGAATGTGTCTTGAAAGTTGCCAGGCGTGCTGGTTCACGCCTGTAATCCCAGCACTTTGAGAGGCCGAGGTGGGCGGATCACTTGAGGCCAGGAGTTAGAAACTGGCCTGGCCAACACAGTGAAATCCATCTCTACTAAAAGTAGAAAAAATGAGCTGGGCATGGTGGCGCACACCTGTAATCCCAGCTACTCAGGAAGCTGAGGCATGAGAATCACTGGAATCCGGAGGCGGAGGGTGCAGGGAGTCGAGATCACACCACTGCACTCCAGCCTGGACTCTGTCTCAAAAAACAAAAAGTGTCTTCAAAGTTACTTTAAAGGGTATTATTTGAATTTAAGAAAAGACTTAGGACTTACAAAAGAGCAATGCTATGCCCAACAATATTGCAAGGATGGCCCACTTTCCAAGTTGTACTCCTCCACCGCTAATCCTTGGATCTGCACGATGTGTGCAGTCATTTTCGGTAATGCAGTCACACAGTGTAACATCCAATGAAGTGACACTGGACATGCCAAGTCTATCTCTCACTGTTACAGGTACTACATATGAGCCAAATGCAGGGTCATTCTGATAGGAAAGACGTGCTGCTGTATCTGAAAACATAAATAAATAAAACCAAGCATTATACAATGTCACTGATTTCTTCTGAGCATAAATAACTCATTATCTGATAGTTATCATATTTTCCTAGAAACAGATATTCTTGATGGGATGGCACAGCTACTAGAAGATGCTAAATGTGAATGGATAGAGTAGTTCCAATCTATACCCATTGCAAATATATTGCATATAAGAGTTTGTCTATGCTGCCTCTTAAAGTCTTTTGGCTTTTGTAATAATATATTTTATTTGTCTGTAAACAAATCCTTCCTTTCATAACTAATAGACTTGTTAATAGTTTCTATCATATCTTGAATATATTTAATTAAAGCAGTGAGTGTACATTTTCTTTTACACATGCTTCATTGAAGTAATAATCTGAAATTCTGGATGTTTTCCTTTACTTTGTTTTCAAAAATTGTGCCAAATAAACATAAATCCTTGTGACTTACTGTCAGAGACTGATTCTGACAACTTAGAACACCCCTGACAGTGACTACATTAGCAGGTCATGAGTCACACAGCTGGAGCTGTATCTCCTGGTCCTAAAGGATGAAGGGACCAACTGCACATGTCTTAGTTTTGATGTAGTTTTCTTAGATAAAGGCTAGAAAATATCTAGAAGCAAAAGCTCATACCGATTCTTTTATGGCTTTTATGGTGCATAAGCATGATGATACGGTTTTTACGCTCATGTGTTAGACGTACCTCTCTCAAACCTTATTACAACATCAGTACATTACCTGTATGACATGAATTTAGAAGAAGAAAAAAATAATAAAAACTAAAAAAAATTTTAGAAGTCAACACAATCTTGGTTTCGGAGACTAGATATACTACTACTCTAAATGCAGATACCTGGTGCCATAGAATAATCCCTCTCTCACATAACTTCCCAGCATGACATTCTTATTTTCTGCATAGTATTTGAAGCTCTAAATACAAATTTGAGTGCCTGGGTAAAAACACATTGAATTAAGTCAATTTTAAGAGAAGCCACAGTTAACCCATTAAGTCTATTGTGTAAGAAATTATAATGAGACTAGCAAAACCAAAACTTATAATTCCTAATGTGCCATGATGTATTACATGCATTATCTCATTTACTCCTCCAAATAATCCCTTTTGAGTAAATTGATGCTCAAAGACAAAGGATAGCATGGTCAGATTTACATAACTAACAAACAGTGGAGAGCCAGCATTTGACACTAAGCTTATCTGACTTCAAAGCCTCTCTGGGGTATGTTCTTCTTAAAAGTTGGGTGTTTCCCAAGCTTACAAATGATTACCCAGACAAGTAAATCTTTAAAATAAGAAAGATTTTGACAAACATACAGCTGCCAAAGTTTTATTTTGCTAAGTAAGACTATTGGGAAAAAAGTGCCCACCTTCTATCAACACTATTTAAAAATGAATATCATGACATAAGTAGAAAAGAAAAAAAAATCTAAGAATAAAGTTAATTCTTCCTGCCAACCCCAAAATAAACTGATAACCCCCCTGAGACACACACACACACAAACACACACACACACACACCCCCCAGAATATTGTTTAAAAAGCTGAAAATCCTGTTAGTTCACAGAGCAGGATCCAAGACATAGTGGCTTAGCTTATTTCTACAAGTCTTCATTTTTCTTTCCTCATCCTGTTCTCCCTTTACGTTCCCTGACAACCTTTCTTTTCTAATTTGTCATAACAGGAAATTGAGGGATATTCACTCAAAGCATGGGGCTGAAAAACATTCAAGGGCATTTGAAAAGCAAGCCCCATTCAGTGGTTCTAGAGTCACGAAAGCTGGTAGACCATGATGCCATGGTCCATAGGCAGTGTGAGCAGGAGATGGGTAACATGTTGAAGAGTTAAGGGCCAACTAGGGAGTGAGGCAGTGGTGATAATGTAGACAGGTTGCCTTCATTTTTGCCATACTTATCACTGTAGATCCTTCTGGGCTAAAGACAAAAGTACGGATGGGGAACCAAGTTAGGGGAGAATCCCAAGGAGAATACAATAGACATGAAATAGTCAGAAGTCAATACAGTGGCAAAGAGGAGAGAGAATGTGGTGGACACTGCGGGGTATATCAGATCCCTTTTCAATGAAGGACTTACATCCCAGCTGCTTGGGAGGCCATCAGCACCTTCCGTGATTGTGCCTTTTTGCCATGGGCAGCCCACATACAGTGATGGAGCAATAAGAGAGAATAGGGGACCAATTCAGCACCACTCTGAAGGCCCATTTAGCTCAGACAGCCCCTGGGGTTCACCAAGGTTGTCATTTGGCTTGTGCTGCAGCTCAACTTCTCTTTTTGTCTAATCCTACTTCTCCTCCTTTCAAAGCTACTGATCCCAAGCAAATTCCTTAGTCATCATTCTGCTTGAGATGCCCTGTCTCAGGGTCTGCTTTCTGGAGAGCCAACCAGTAACATCTGAGGACTCCCTTATGACCTAGGAAACTATAAAGAAACCTATGCCAATGGGAGGTACACAAGTTAGGAAGTGATTGCATTAGACCCAGTCTAAGAGAGAGAGAGTGTGTGTGAGTGTGTGTGTGTGTGTCTGTGTGTGTTTGGAGTGGGAGTGAGAATTCACAACACACCTAAGGGAATCTCGGCATAGGATTAGAGACACACTAGAGAGACCTACTCCCAACACACAAAAACTGAGAAACTTTCATTGGTGGTTCCCACATGGTGAATTTTCTCCTATTTCATACAAAAAAAAAATAGTATTGCAGACACCCTGATGCTGAAAAGGACAAAGCAATTTTCAAAAATATATACCATTAATTTTGTTCAGTCTCCATATTCTCTGTACGTCTGAAGTAGAACTCTCCAGACTAAAGTCAAAGGGTGGGCCATTGATGGGCTCATCAGGATCAACCGCAACAATCTCCGCAGATGACATGGTGGGTTTGCAGATGATCACTGTCTTCTTAGGTATGAATGGGCCGTTATCATTCACGTCTTGAAGGATAATGCCCAGTGTCCCTGTACATGTTCTCCCTGCTAGATAAATGAAAATAAAAATACTTTTTTTATGTTTTGAGTTTTCACCACAAAATTATGCACTGAAAACATTGAAAAATATTTATTAAGCACCTATGATGTATAAGTTACAATGATAAACAGTCACAAGCTATGTCCTCAGGGCATGTTAAAAGAAAAATATTATTACTTTCATATGGGTTGCACAATGACTGCTATTAAGATGTGTTTATTCATTCGCTAAATTATTACTGCATTTTATTAGAGGCAAGTTTTGGCTGATTTGTGAGAAGAGGAAGGAAGAGAGTATGAATGAGGATACTTCTGGCATATGTAAAAGCACAAGGAAATTCAAGGACATGGAAACGCACGTTAAACATACCCATGTTCTGGAGACAATGACAGGAAAGGTAGACAGGTGGAAGCTGACACGGAGCAGGAGCTAAGGGTCTTTGAAAGCCAGACTAGGGAGCTTAGAGTTTGTTGGATAAATAGGTAGCACTTAGGTTTTGGAGCAAAGAAATTAAAGTTATATATTGGAAAGATTGTAACAAAAATAGTACATGGGAATATTCGAAGAGCGGAAGACTCCAGGAGAAGAAAATTACTTGAAAACTGAAATAATCACTGTGGGGTGTAGCCTAAGTAATTCATCTATCTGTATATTCAGTAGAAACTTACAGGATAGGTGGGGCGTGGTGACTCACGCCTGTAATCCCAGCACTTTGGGAAGCCAAGGCGGGCAGATCACCTGAGGTCGGGAGTTCGAAACCAGCCTGACCAACATGGAGAAACCACCATCTCTACTAAAAAGACAAAATTAGCCAGGCATGGTGGCACATGCCTATAATCTCAGCTACTCGGGAGGTTGAGGCAGGAGAATCGCTTGAACCAGGAGGCGGAGGTTGCCGTGAGCAGAGATCATGACATTGCACTCCAGCCTGGGCAACAGAAGTGAAACTCTGTCTCAAAACAAAAAAAAAGAAAAGAAAAGAAAAGAGAAAAGAAAGAAAGAAACTTACAGGATAACTACTTTATATAAAGAACTGCATTGGAAAATCTGGGGGATTCAAAGATGAAACAGCCATGGAGCCATGCCACTAATTAGTAATGCAATTATGAAGTCTGAGGCCAAACACAAGCCCAGGAGTTCTGTCTCTAAATCGCTCACTCTTTCTGTTTCAAAAGAAGGCTTTCGACACTACAGGTGGAAAAGAGAATTAAAAAACCCCGTGCCACCCACTGCCTGGGCTGTGTCTTATATGAAGCTGCCAACCTCGGGAAGCTCGGAGATCTGAGCACAGCCCTGAAGTCACAACCTCAGCCAGAGCACCTGAAGCACAGCGATTAGATTCATGATACAGCCAGCGTCATCACGGGTCAGGAACACTAGGCCACCAAGTTAAGAACTGGTTCTAAACCATGAGCCACAGAAAAAGAGCAGGTGAAGGCAAGTACAGGACTAGTAGTTAATAAGGGCAAAGTGAGAGAGAGGGAAAAAACAAAAATGGAAAGCAAAGCAAACACTTCTCATTTAATATAAGCCTGCAAACTAAAATTCCCAGATAATCAAGATTAACACTAAGAAGGAAAGCCAACAAAAGCACCAGTCAAAAGATTAATTCATTCTATGGAAGACGTCTCTAAAACAGGTATGTTTAGAATCTTCAAAGACATAAAGACGGGTAACCAATTAAACAAGAATGAAATTACAGCTCAAATTCCAGCAGAAAATAAACAGCAATATTCACCTACCAAGGATTCTAGAAAAGAGAATAGACAGAATGGCAGAGAAGCAGTATTTAAAGAGATGAATAGCTGAAAATACTCCAAAATTAAAGAAAAACATGGCTCTTCAGATTGAAAGTTTTCTGACTGCAGAACTAGACAAATACAAATAAATCCACGGCATACACTTTGTACTAACACTGTAGAACTCAACTATGGTACTATAAGAGCTACCTCAATGTATTACCTACAAAAGGACAATCACTAATTGACAGAACAAGAAGCATCAGCAAGAAGAGATGCCAGAAGATAATGGGTTAATAGCTGCACAGTGCCACGGGAAAGAAGCTGTTGACTCAGAATTTTAAACCAAGTCAAAGTATCACTTAAGTATGAGGCCAATATTAAAATATTTTTCAGAACAACAAAACTGAGAGCGTTTAAAATTCACATTCCATAAATGAAAAAAAAAAAAAAGTTAAGGATGTACTTCAGCAAGAAGAAAAAAGAACTAGGAGAGAAAACAATGAGAAGCAGGAAACAATGCAACTACCTTCCATTTTTGGACAACTTCGAAAAAGAGTATTTACATTAGAAAAAGGAAGCAGGTAGATATATATTTCATCTATCTGGCATATGTTTCTATTTACTACAGCAGAATAATTTCTGTCTCTCAGCTTCTCCTGTTCTCATGTTATGTGGTGCTACCTTGCTCTCTCTGAAAATTGGGACTGCTGGTTGTCTCGAACATTTCTTTCCCTTTGAGTCCACACACACAATTGAGAGCACATGCCTTACCTATTGAATCTGGTTAATTGTGCTATCTTTAAAAATTGAACTCTATAGTGCTTGCTCTTCTACAATTGTGATAAATACTTCAGTTTCCTTCCAGTAGATGTTTACAGCTGCTCACTGATTAAACTCCAATTTTTTTTTTGCACATTGTGATTAATACTGACATAGAAGAACATTTAAGACCTCAGATATCTAATCCACTGTTTCATAGCTGTTTTTCATCTGTTGATGAGTTACATTGAGTTACATACTGTTTTATTCGTTGGAATGTCAGCATAAAATGCTCATCTTGTAGTACTAACATAATTCTATATGGGCAAATGCTAATTCCAAATATGAAGTCACATGAGATGCACTATCCATGGTTTCACACTTTATGTGCATGACACTCTTCGGTCAAATGTTTTAAAACAGTTGCAAGTAACCCTATTCTAACAGCTGGAATAATACAATAGAAACATTAATGTCAAGCTCAACTACATACAGGTGATTCCTGGGTGAAACTGCCAACAGAATTTAGATTAAGAAGTTAAGAAGAAAAGATAAATTGAATTTAAAGCTTAAGAAATATATATGTTTAGGAGAGGGGAAGGCAGTTAAGACCAGAAAGCATGCGGGAATGTGTGGCCAAGTTTAGACATGGAAGCCTTGAGAGAGTTTTAAAAAGAGGAAGCAATTGCTGTGGAGACGTAGCAGGGCAGGAAGTGAGCACCAGCCCAGGAGAGCAGTATCCATGAGGAGAGGTTTCCATTAGGGAGTGGCAGGGAGAACCCAAATGAAATGAGCCAGTATAGATTTTAGAAAAAGGTTTTTCAAAAAATGACACACTTTTGTATGATCTCAGTTCATTCCATTCGCAAAGTAAAAAGATGTGGAATTAATGATTTACAATTCCCTCACAGACAGGAACACAGTGACGCCCACCCTCCTCAAAAGAAATGAAGGGCAACGGCCTCATTACACATTTATTCTATATCACAGTGATGATGAGCAGTGCCCCATCTCAATTCCCTAACAACTATTTGATTTCTCAATCATTTGAACTCCTCTGCAACAGAGGAGAAGGCAGAATAAAATTATAGGCAAAATTTCTAATTTCAGACAGCAATTTTTACCTCAACTGTCAATAAACTATTTCCCAAGTGCTGTTAAAAAAATAATGGATTTGAGTTTCATGTTACTTTGCTTTTCTTTTCATTTGCCTTTGACCAACAACTATTTCTTGGCAAAAAGACATGAGAATCTCAGGCCTTAAAGGACAGTCTTTTATTAGTTAAAGACAAATCAATAATGATTACAACTTTAGCAATTTAGCAAACTGAGTCATTTCTCATTAATTTACAGAGAACTGGAATACGTAAATCATCTTCCAAAATCACTTCTAAATTCTAATTTTGCAAGTTATAGTACAATAACTTATGTTTGGTATAGTTCACATATTTATTTTACAAAGACAAAGTCCAAATTCATGTTATAGAAATTATATTTCATGCACCAAACGCATCTCATATATAATCATCATACTCATATTTCTCTCAATTTTATAGAACGCACAGAACATAATTTTACATTTTATATGACTATATGAATTCATAGTGTTTGTCTCTCTAATTTTATAATATACTATTTATTTACCATGATCATAAATATACCATGAATTGTTTTAATATAATGTCTTTAATCAGAATTCTAACCCCCAAGTAAATTGTCAACTTCCTGTAAAAAGTTATAGCTATTTTCCAGGACTGCACCATGTAAGTATGTTCTCCCTGTAATGAACTTTCCTACCAAAGTGAACACTTTAAGCAAAATAAGTAGATACATTGAAACAATTTTTTTTTTTTTTTTTTTTTGAGACAGAGTCTCACTCTGTCATACAGGCTAGAGTGCAGTGGCGTGATCTCGGCTCACTGCAACCTCCACCTCCCGGGTTCAAGCGATTCTCCTGCCTCAGGCTCCCAAGTAGCTGGGATTACAGGTGTGTGCCACCACACTCAGATAATTTTTAATATTTTTGGTAGAGACGGAATTTCACCATGTTGGCCAGTCTGGTCTCGAACTCCTGACCTCAAGTGATCCCCAGCCTTGGCCTCCCAAAGTGCTGGGATTACAGGTGTGTGCCACCACACCCGGCAGAAACAAGTTTTACTAAAATAATTTTCTCAATTTTTAATAATTTTAACTTTAATAAATTATGGTCTCAAGTGTTTCTATGAGTAAATTATTTTATAATTACATCTAAAACTGAGAAGGCTATTAGAAAGCAGACATGAGTTAACAAATTATAGTAAACTTCTTACTCAGTGAGAGATATGAAAACTGAATGCATGTACCCAGCTTTAAAATGTATACTGTTGGCTTCAACACTGAAGATGTATGTAGCTGAGGAAGTATGTAGCTGGCTTAAAGACAAATTCTTACCTTGGTCTGATGCAAGGACTGTAATATTATATATGCCATTTCTGATGGTCTCTGCCTCTCTATCCAGGCTTCTGAAAACTCTGATTGATCCTGTATTTTCATCAATGGTGACCCACCCTGTTGGATCAGTTAATTTCTTATACCTGTTGGTAATGATGAATTAAAATAATAAAATTTATCATATGCTAAATTATAGCAATGTAACAAAATAAGCTATAAATTTTAAAACTCAAATAGAATGGTAAGTACCTTATGCCACTGCTACTTCTTGTTTCTGGGTCATATGCTTTATATCCATTGCTTGTTGTTCCCACTGCTGCATTTTCATTCATGCGAATAGTCTGTATTGGAGGGTTACACTCAGGGCCCTCATCCTGATCCCGTACATTAACAGTAACTGTTGCTGTGCTCATGGCTGATCTTGAACTAGCCTCTCTGGAAAATGGAGCTTCATTAACTACACCAATTTGCAGGATCACCTGTTGCTTTTCTTCATAATTCAATGGCTACAAAAGTAAATGTATTGAAAAATCAGATGAACTCATTTAATATTTGGCAATGCTAACGAGTATATATAATGTTACATTTGGAAATATGTAAGTGCTGTGTTGGGAATAACAACGAGAATATGAAACATATATCCAGTGATATGGTTTGGCTCTGTGTCCCCATCCACATCTCATGTCGAATTGTAATTCCCAATGTTGGGGGAGGGACCTGATGGAAGGTGATTAGATCATGGCAGTGGATTTCCCCATTGCTGTTCTCATGATAATGAGTGAGTTCTCACACGATCTGGTTGCTCAAAAGTGTGTAGCACATTCCCCTTTGTTATCTCTTTCCTGTTGCCACGTGAGGATGTGCTTGCTTCCCCTTTGCCTTCTGCCATGACTATAAGTTTCCTGAGGCCTACCTAGCCATGCCTCATATACAGCCTGTGGAACTGTGAGTCAATTAAACCTGTTTTCCTTATAAACTATCCAGTCTCAGGTAGTTCTTTATAACAACGTGAGAACAGACTAATACACCCAGAAATCCAGTGGCAGTGAAAAGAGAGGAGTCCTCCCACTGATTCAGTACTTGGGTAAAGCTGCCAAAAAAAAGACAGAAAATTGTTCTTCATAACAGGTATTGATGAAGATTTCAGAGAGTTTTTTTTTTTTTTTTTTTTTGAGACAGAGTCTAGCTCTGTCTCCCAGGCTGGAGTGCAGTGGCGCCATCTCGGCTCACTGCAAGCACTGCCTCCCAGGTTCATGCCATTCTCCTGCCTCAGCCTCCCGAGTAGCTGGGATTACAGGCGCCAACCACCATGCCCGGCTAATTTTTTGTATCTTTAGTAGAGACAGGGTTTCATCATGTTAGCCAGGATGGTCTCAATCTCCTGACCTCATGATCCACCCACCTCGGCTTCCCAAAGTGCTGGGATTACAGGCATGAGCCACCACGCCTGGCATTTCAGAGAGTATTTAATGAGGGTTCCTGGATGTTAATACATGAGATACTTCTTTAGGGGATTCATACTATAACCAATAGTTTTTTGCTACACCATAAATTTTAGGACAGCTTGTCCTACCCTCCTAAGATGAATAAAATTATTTGTACCTGGTTTGAGGAAGAGAAAAAAATGGGTAAATTTTTAAAAAATGTTTTTAAGGGGAGAGAGACAAGAAAATACAAAGCTTATGGGCATCATATTTTCTTTTTTTATGTGTGTCTTCCATTCCAGTTCCTGTCTTAAAGACAGGAACACATTTAATAAAAGGTTTTATTTTATCTTGCCTGATACATAGTTGTAGTGAGAATTAGTGAAACCATGTCCCAGAAGACAGAAATGTTTTCAGGTCTTGGACTTCACACAGATAAATTTCCTTCTGAGAATACCAAGGATTAGAGGAGGGGTTAGGTGAAGAAAGAGGCAAGATTTAAAGGAAATTTCTTTGCTATTTTAAAATAGAGAAAATAATATAAAAACATCAGCTGATTTTCATCATTGTAAGGAAAATGGATTCATCATTTTTTAATCCATGCTCCTTATGAACATATACAAAAGGAAAATGGCATAGACCCACTGTAAAACCATGTTCTAGTTAAAGATGCAGCAGAAATAAGTCTATAAATTTGTCCAAGGCCAAAGGAGCTCAGATTACTTTATGCACTAACTCTGGCTCCCGGAATAGTATTAGAAAGAAGTTTTAGAAGTGTTTTCATCTTTGAATGATTGAGGATTTTCATTCTGAACCTGTATGCTAAGGATGTAATATATACTGAACAGGATGAACAAACCTACGAATAACCTCTCCATGGGGCTGACCAAGAATAACTCTTCGTTTGGTAAATTCAGTAAGTAAGTGAAGGCTCCTTGGCCCAAACACAGAAAAACTGGACTAGAAAAAGTCCGGAACTGTCCCAGTGGCATCAAAGCTGTGCTAGTTTTTGAACTGTTTAAAGATATTAGTTACAAAATAGATATTGTATTATATGGACTTTTAAAAAAAATCATGCCTAAACAAAAGATTATCAAAAACTAATATATTCTTTCCATTATATATGAAGAACACAGCATTTACATTTACTTATATATCTATTTTATTCCTACATTTATCAGAATTCCTTTCTTTCCATTAAATTCCAGCATGCTATTCCATAATATTATAAACTACAAATAATGTTCTAATTTATTCTTACCTTAACTACACAGAGAATTCCTTCATTGGTTTTGGCATCTGTTACAATTTTAAAATTTCCATTTTCATTGCCCTTTAAAATGGTATAATTAGCTCTCCAATTAGCAGTATTCACTAAGTCCTTATCCTCAACAGTAACTCGTAAAATTTCCACATCAACTGTATTTTCTTCCACTGATGCCACATACTAAAATAATAAAAGCAAACAAAAAATTTCATTAGTAACTCTCACAAAAATAGAACACCATGTGAAGTAAATCCTATTCGTTTAATTTCCGAAGTACTATGTTTACGTGATTTAAAACCCTAGTACTATACAACTTTTAATGTCTTTGGGGTACTTCATTTGAAATCACGAGGGGTGGATGGGGATATGCATTTTTTTTTTTTTCTTTTTTTTTTTTTTGAGATGGAGCCTCACTGTGTCACCCAGGCCGGAGTGCAATGGCCCAATCTCAGCTCACTGCAACCTCCGCCTTCCATGTTCAGGCAATTCTCCAGCCTCAGCCTCCAGAGTAGCTGGGATTACAGGTGCCTGTCACCATACCCAGCTAATTTTTGTATTTTCTGTAGAGAGAGGATTTCACCATGTTGGCTAGGCTGGTCTCAAACTCCTGATCTCAGGTGATCCACCTGCCTTGGCCTCCCAAAGTGCTGGGATTACAGGCGTGAGCCACTGCGCCAGGCCAGAGATGTGCATATTAAACAATTAAAACTGGTCTATACATTTTTCTTTAATTAATATCATATACTTACAGAAGTACGAGTAAACGTTGGCAAGTGGTCATTTACATCACCAATATTAATGATACAAGTTGAAGTTGTCTGTAGACCAAAATATTGACCGTCCATGTCTTGTACTTTTATTTTCAACTGGTATTTGTCAATTAACTGAAAACAAAAAAAGACTTTAATTATTGGGTGAAAGCACCAACATTATAATTGAAATCTTACTTTACACTCCGTAACTTTTTTGCACTAAGAATTTAAGAAGTACATTATTACATTTCACAGCATTCATGTATTAGAAGAATTTTCTCTCACTAGTAATTTTTCTTTTCTTTTCTCTTTTTTTTTTTTTTTTTCCTGAGACGAAGTCTCACTCTGTTGCACAGGCTGGAGTGCAGTAGTGCGATCCTGGCTCACTGCAACCTCTGTCTCCTGGGTTCAAGTGAGGCAGGAGAATTACATTAGGAATTTTCAATCAACTTATGAAAATTGAATAGTTTCTCAAATTTCTAGTGCTATTAACTTACAGAATATAGAATCAGTTGGTTTTGTCTTTATTCAACAGAAAAAGAAGAGCTATTTTGTCATAAGTGCATTTAAAACTGCCTGGTAATTAATCAAAACCTTTCTCTCATAGCCAAAGTACATCCTTATGTTCAAAAATATAGATAGCAATGACTCTTATAATGGTCTTTTAATAAAACAATAAAATGAAATTTCTTCCTGCAAAAAATACAGATTTTAAGGGTTTATGTTACATTTATTAAGAGATCATTTAAATTGATATGAACATAAAGTTCTGGGGCTATGTAGTTTTTTCTTTCTGTGGAAAACAGAATCTGGCTCTTAAGGCTTTCAATTTATCAGATACTGTTGAAAACTCATCACTACCTTAAAAAATGTTTTTAAACATCTAAAGCATTTGAATATTTTAAAGTGTTTCTCCTTATAACTTTCATTTATCATAAGTGATTGAGATATGGGAGGATTAAAAACAATACAGTAATAATTCTTTCCGGACTGAGCATTAGGAGACTTGGGTTCTATTTCCAACTCCAAAAATAAGAGACACAATCTTGGGCAATTGGAAAATTCACTTTGTCTAGGTTTCTTCTTCTATAAGATAGTAATGCTTACTTTTCCCACCTAGTTTATCTCCTTTCATAAGACAAAATAGTATGTTAAAATCTATCCTCACCTTCTACCTAGAATGTTCACCCTTCTCTTACAAAGATTCCTCTCTTAATTCCATCACCTCTGAAACTTTCTTTTCCTCAGGCATTATCTAAAATAAAACCAAATTTTCTCTTGATCTTCCTGCTTTTTACACACGTAATTTTCCAAATTTACTCCTCCCTCATAACCAATCACATATGTAGACTTTAAAAATAATGGCCTTATTTCAACTGAAAAATTTTAAAACATCATGCTACTGTACCTTCAAGAAGGAATGCATATTTTGTTTTTAGTGAACTAAAATTTATTGGAAATAATTAACTGGCTAATGAAACAAGGAAATGAAGTTTGATACCCTAAGTATTAACTTGTGCTATCTTCAGGTGGAAAAGAAATTCTGATGTTTACAGGGACTAAAAGGTTGTAGGCAACTGAAGAAAACCGTAATCAAAAAGTTACTAGAGAGCACCACTGGGTAAACTCCTTCATTGGACAAGTGTTTTCAACTGATTCTTTCAGAAGAATCTATTCAAAGAAAAGCACTTCTGTGGTTGTTTGGTTTGGGAGCTGAACAAGCTGTTGAGTTGTTTCCCCCGCCCCCTCCCGCCCGCATAGAACACTGTTTTCACATAGACATCTATGGCTATTCAGACTATAGTTTTATGAAGGCATTTTGTAAAACATAAAGTTAATCTGTCACTTCAGGGAAAACAACTATTTGTTGCCAATGATAAATTGGAGTTTTCAAACAAAAATGAGAATCTTGGAAAACCTTTATCAACCAATGTGATATCAATGGAATTAAAGAGGTGATCTTTTTGATATTATTTAATGGAATGTGTCAATATTTGGAAGCTCTGCATTACTTAATGAACCAATATTTTCCAAATGACCAATGCACAATATAGAATGATATATTGGTAAAATGGTAGCTCACAGCATAAGATAGAGCAATGAATTTTAATGTAATAAAGTACAAAAGGCCATTGGTGAGGCTTCAGAGTCCACATTACCAAAAACTTTTAGGAATCTAGCTACTCCTTGTCAAGTTTTCATGTAGTATCAAAGAATAATATCCACAATGATCTGTAATTATCATTAAAATACTCCTCTCTTTTCTAACTTTATATCATGTCAGATTGCATTATGCTTCAGCTAAAACTACACATTGTAACAGACTAAATGCAGAAGGAGATGTGAGAATCCACCAGTCTTCAGCAAAATATTAAAAACATTTGGGAAAATGCATAACAATGTCACTCTTCCCACTAAATTGTACTATTTTGGGAAATGTACTTATTTTGTAAGTACAAAAAGAAAAATAAGTGTAACAATTTTTACTGTTATAAGAATTTTAACTGTTAACATGTAATTAATTTATTATTTTTAATATTTAAATTAATGTATAATTTAAACTTTCCTTAGTTTTAAACATTAATGAGGTAATATAGATAAATACAACTAGATAAATAAAAGATCTTTGGGATTTTCAACAATATTTAACATTGTTAAGGGATCTTGAGATCAAAGCTTTTGAGAACCACTACCCTAATCCATGAGGGATAGAGGAAGGAAGAGAAAATTAATCTGAAGATTTAAGATTTAAGATTTAAGAATCAAATAAAATATCTGATAAACATCTATTACTGTATTTTAAGATTAAGGATTATAAATATAGTAAATAAGGATACAGAAATTGCTATAAGAATTTAGATGAATAATGCTTCATGGAGGAGGTAATAGTTGAATAACTAAGTGAATGAATTACTAAGCTACGGTATTGCAGTAGAAAGAGACAGAATATAGATATAAAACAATCTAGGAGGTAAAAACATGCTTTGGGAAGTGATGTGATTCAGGTGGGCCAAGAGACATCAAATACAATTTGGAGACCATGACTCCAAGGTGACAATAGAAAATGATTAATAGAGAAAGAATATATAAATGTCTTTTTAACTAGAAAATATAGAAAGGAAGATATGTTTAGAAGAAAGAAGACAAGTTAAATTTTAGATTTATTACATCTTAGGTACCTGTCAGACATCCAAATCAAGATTTCTAGCAGTTGATTGAAAATGGGAAACCAGAGATTAGAGAGACATAAACTGTCTTTTCATCTATGTAAGTGGTAGAATGTAGATGAGATTATTGAAAAGATGATAACAAATTTCTGCATATATTTAAAAGGTTCACTTTTCATATTTGACATTTTGTTTTAATACTGTAAATACGTTTATATTAGGAAATTTGATTGTACGAAACATACAATTCATAAAAGAACGAATTAGCAGTTCGAAACCAGCATACTCCAAGGTTATTTAGTGATCTCTATTAACATACATAAAATAATAATGTTTCTAAAACAAGATTCACAACATACTTTTCAAAAACACATCTACAGGAGTTATACAGGTAATACTGAATAGCCACGTCATAATCAGGTTTTATTAATGTTTACGTTACCTCTCTGTCTAGCTGAGATGATGTTGTGGTGATCACACCTGTAGTTGGATGCATAGAAAATAGGGTGGGTGATGGTGGCACCTGCCCAATGATGGAGTACTTCAGGCGTGTATGCATTGTGTCAGGCTCATCTTTGTCAGTTGCACACACTTGTCCCACAGTAGTGCCTACAGAAGAAAAGTCCTTTTTAATCTCCAAAACATTGGCATGTTCTATGATCCCTTTATTTCATTCCTCTTCACCCACCTCAAAAAAGCTCTGGACCACATTATTACATAGCAAAGTCATCGCTTTTATAAATTTGCAGACCCCTCCATACAGTATCACTTCTTTTCAAATATTCTGGCATACTAGCATTTTTGAATTGGGTGATCATATTCATATTTACTGTATTTAATGTAAGATTTTATAAATGTTGGTACTATCCCTCCATGTATTTTCAGACTAAACAATTCTGATTATTCTATTACCTTTCTCTGTTTGTAAGCCTGTGCTTAGATTGATCATAGGAGTCAGTTTTCTCTAAAACTGCATGGTTCACTTAGACCTTTCTAGAGAAAATCTCCAAAACTGTATTCTGACTTTTAGCTAAAACAGACCATTTTCACAGGACTGAGAAAATGCTTGTATTATTCTCAGTGACTTTAATAATCACGCCCAGAATACTGCCGATCATTTAATCCTAGAGAACATCCATACGTATCTTTAAGACTACATCTCCAATTAGTGAAAGACTTATTCTTTTTGGGCTATGTTCTCTTACATCCATCCTTCCATAGGACAACAGCATAACATTTATTAACTCCTATTTGATAGACACTGTGCTTGGCATTCGCTGTGTATTGAGCTTCCCTTAATCTTCATAACAATCTGGCATACTGATAACCCATTTTACAGATGAAGAAATTAGACTTGCCAAGATTAGGAAATTTGCCCAGGGTCACACAGCTACTGAAACGCAGAGTAAAATTGCACCCAGAGTCCATTATTCTTGCTGCTGGGATATGCTGCTTCCCAATGGACAAAGTGAAACTAAATGTATGAACTGAAACACAGTTAATTTGCCATATATTGTTTAAGGAGGCACTCACCCACTCTGCAATTTTCAAAAATTGTAAACGTATAAGTTTCTTCTGTAAAAATTGGGTAGTTATCATTTTCATCCTCTACTTTGATTATTAGGGGCAATGGAAGTTCTGGGGTATACCCATCTGGAGTTGTTGCAAAGGCAATTATCTGTGAAAAGAGTAAAATAAGGAGAAAAATGAAAATAATCTCTTAAAATGAGGTATGCTTCAAATTCACTTTGGCTTTAATTTGGAGACTGTTCAGGATTACAGTGTGAGTCTCACCATTTGTTATTGTTTTGGGATATGGATATAATTTTAATGCCAAAGAGGTGCCTAATTTCATGATTTAATATAGCATTTTATGTTTAAATTTACCTGTTTAAATTTATCAAAGATAATTTTAGTTTCTTCATTATTGCTATGCTGTTGTTCATGAGTGTAACAATTTTTACTGTTATTTTCCCAAACAGCCTTGAAGACTTTTTTGTTTTGCTTTGTTTGAAAGGTTCAGGTGCATGGATTTTAAATACAACTTTCTGGATCCTTCTGAACTTGGGATCCTGTAGGATTATAAATTCTCCAGGTATAGTTAACGGGGATATTATCCTATTTTCTACTAATGAGGACTGTAGGCATATCAATGGTTACATTTGGGTAAGTCTTTTCAAAAGAATTTTTAATTTAAAAAGTGTGAATCAGAAATGAAGCAAATGAATGGTGGTAAATTGTGGTGGAATACAGTTTAATTTTTTTGTTTTTACAATATGAATTTCAATACCGATTTTCTCATAACAGCTATCATAAAAAGGCCAGAACATCCTAGGTACTTAGAAGGCCAGGCCATGGCAATTCTAAACCTAAATACTTTATTCAAAGTTTGCCTATCTTATTTGATTGATTTGTTCCTCTAATGAATAATTAATTCATCCAAAATAGAAATAAAATAATTAAAACCAACTTAAGCAAAAAGACCAAGTCCTGTTGGGAAATCAAACCAGCATTAGGTTAAATTCTTTCATATTAACTCGCTTTCCAGCAAAGGAAGTTAAACAGATGATTAAAGGACTGAGTAAGCTTAGGTAAGCACTGTCACACTCCCTACCTGCTCCCCATAAACTAACGTTCTCCCTTTGCCAAGGTACTGAGGTTTACTTAATGACTGAACCTCATTTACTTCCTATGGTATCTCCATACTATAAAGAGGTTCACAGATTTTTGTGTGCCAACTAAGTAACTGTTCTTGGCTGGGCACGGTGGCTCAGGCCTGTAACCCCAGCATTTTGGGAGGCCGACATGGGCAGATCACCTGAGGTCAAGAGTTTGAGACCAGCCTGGCCAACATGGTGAAACCCCATCTCTACTAAAAATACAAAAAGTTAGCTGGGCATCATGGCGCACGCCTGTGATCCCAGCTACTCAGGAGGCTAAGGTGGGAGGATCACTTGAAACCAGGAGCCAGAGACTGCAGTGAGCAGAGATTACACCACTGCACTTCAGCCTGGGTGACTAAGGCAGACTCTGTCTCACAAAAAAAAAAACAAAAAAAACAAAAAAAACAAAAAACTGTTCTTCAAAGTGGTACTTTTGTGGGGGAAAAAATAAATAGTAAAACCATAATACCAGGAACAATCTAATGGAATGTAATATTATTTATTCCATAAAAATATTTTTTGTTTCAAGTCAATTCTGTGCTATTAGGGAGTAGCCAGAGCACTGGTGATAAACTCAGAAAACAGAAAAGGTTAAATGAATTGCAAATGAGAGATAAAATGGTCAAGCATCATCATTACTAATACAGGACACACGCGGGCGCCCGTAGTCCCAGCCATTCGGGAGGCTGAGGCAGGAGAATGGCGTGAACCCAGGAGGCGGAGCTTGCAATAAGCTGAGATCGCGCCACTGCATTCCAGCCTGGGGGACAGAGCAAGATTCCGTCTCAAAAAAAAAAAAAAAAAATACAGTACACACATTGTAGACTTTACCTCAAAAGATTCATACTGCTCACGATCTACAGCACGAGTACAATACAAGTTTCCGGTGTCTCTCTCCACATAAAATAAATTCCGAGGTTCTTGGTCAACTCCAGGACCTCTTATGGAATAGTATATGGTATAGTTTTGGGCTGTGTCAGATTGAACCTAGAAAGTAGATAATATATACATGAGACAAATCTTTACTTCAGCAGAACTTTCATCTATATATTTATGAAATCTCATTGCCATTTTATTAGTTTAAATAATTGCCCTTATTATTATTATGTATATTAAAAAAAAAAAACAACAGAATAAGAAAGTCCAATTGAGAAATTTTAAGAGCAAGGCATGAGTAAAATAATGTAGTGCATCTTAGTTCTCCAGAATAACTAAGGGAATATTTGACAGGATAGATGGTGTCTATACATGGAAAAAACACTTGAGACTTTTCCTGTCTTAGAAAGCAAAGTATTCTGAGCATGGAAAATTATTCTGTTGTCAATGTTTTAAAAAACTGAGTTTTTATTATATGTAACGTAACATTTAAGAATAGAGTTTAAAGTGTACTGTCTGCAGGGCAAAAATGTGGACAATAATTTCCTTAATGAGTTTTTTGTTCTTTGCCAACATCTTCCTTATAGGAACTGAGTGGAAAAAAAAATATGAGTGAGAATAGAAATGGAATAATATTTTGGAATGTGTAATATTCTGATCTTTGATTCAAAAAGCAAATTTCCTCCAAGCTGTGTTCATCCACTCAGTAACATCCTGACTATCTTTATATCAGGATAACAGACACAACTGTTTTCTAAAGATTTCTCAATTTTAATATGCTCTTCTCTCAGCTGTATTAAACTTATTGGTGGGGTATAAAAAGGATTCTCCCTTGCTATGTCAAGAACTGAGGGAAAATAAACCAAAGTCATAGACTGAATGTAGTAGCCACTAGTAGTGGAAGAAGACAAGAAGGCTTGCTGGAGTTTCTACTGCAAATTTTAAAAAGACAGAGAAAAAGAGCCAGGCATGCTTAGCTCATGCCTGTAATCCTAGCATTTTGGGAGGTTGAGATGGGAGAATCATTTCAGCCTAGAAGTTCAAAACCAGCCTAAGCAATATAGTGAGATCTCATCACTACAAAAAAAAAGAAAAAAAAGAGAGAGAGAGAGAGAAAGAAAGAAATGTGGATCCAGTGTGATTTCAGATGTAGATTCAAGAACAAGAAATAGAAAGATAGAAGGGCCTATGTGTCTTCCTCCTTCGTGGCATTTGGACTTTCATCCAATTTTCTCCTTTATTATGAAAGAGAGTTTTGGGTTTTCTAGGCTATTCCTAGGCTTGGCGATACCCTTGCTGATACGATAATTCATTAAGGAACCATGTGTTTGAGTGCTACAGTTTTATGATGGCCTTTGCAAGCTGAACAAAAGTATATGCAAGTATAAAGAGATATATTTATACCCTTGTATGGAAACATATTATACACGTACTCATTCACTCATATATTTATACACAACTATTATAAATAACTTCATACTCAGTGTCATAATGGTAAGTGATGGAAACTATAGACTTCCACAGCAGAAAGAAAGAAAACTGTACCTGTTGAAGGAAAAGTGGAAAAGGACCCAAGGAGTTTTCTAGCATCGAACAAGGAATGGGAGCCCATCTTCTCTTAGCGCGCCTTAGAACTGTTTCTTTAGTTTGTCTTTTCTTTAGGACCTCAATTCATAAGACAGGAAAAAAATGATAAAGTCAATGACTACTTTATTCTCAAACATTAAACAATGACACATCTTTCTCCTTTCATGAGGATTAGCTGGGGAGGGGTGAGACCGTGGGAGTGTCTGAAAACCAAACTAAACATCAACACTGCAAAAAGATAATGAAGAAGTAACTGTCCTAACTGTTATCACAACAATCCTCTTGGGAAAATGATTTGGTGGAAATATGGATGAAAGAGAGATGGAACTGGAAGCCTAGAAGCAAAACTGAAAAAAAAATTACTGTTGCCACATTGCCATGCAAAAACAGGGGAGAGAGATATGCAAAGAAAATAAGTGTGTATGTGCCCTTCTAAATTTAGCACAAGCAACTTCCACTCACCAGCAACTAGGCAGAGCCAGGGAACCAACAGAGAGATCTGTGTTAGAATGAGGAGAAAAACACGGTGACAACTCTCAAACTGCTGCAGTGAGGAATGGCTAATGGTTGAACAAAAATTATTTTGATCTTGGGTGTCACAACACAATAGCATGCATGTGGTCCAAACCTCCTCCTAAAATAATCATCATGTTTTAAGACCACAGATTATGCTGAAATGAATGCAAAAAAAAAAAAAAAGAAAATCTTTTCTTTTCTTTATCCAGAGTTTCAAAACTTGTTGTTAGAAATCCATTCTATGGTAAAGCTCAAAAAAAAAAAAAAATGCGCTTTGTGTCTAATCTCACATTCCCATGCTGTACCTTATCCCAATTTCTCATTTTATGTCCCAAAAGAAAAGGAATGACAACCCGAATGAACCATGTTGCACAGCCCTTTTCCTTTTAAACACTGTGAAGCTGACTCATGGTTTTCATTCTTTTTGAAGCCAAACTATACCATATCCTTTCTGATTTCATATCTTCCCTGGCAATGTCAATTGTGTCTGAAGAAAAGACATCATTTCTTCATTTATGTAGTCTTGTATACCTTTGTTTGACGCTCCAAAAAGACAAATATTTTCTTCTTTTCTTGGTTCTCAGTGTTGGAAAGTAATATGGTAAAACTTCTCTTCTCCGAGGACAATAGAATAGTATTTGTTGTATAGACTGAACCATCTTCCAAAATTTGGAAGTCAGGATCACTTGAATGAATTAGATTTGCAGCTGTAAAGCACTCTTTCAGGTTAACTGCAGAAAATATGCACAGCAATCATTTTTAAAGTAAAACATAGGATATAGTTTTAACAGTAATGTATGCATATGGGGAGAGCCAAAAACTTAAAATTAATTATACTGGCACTTGTAAATTTTTGCAAGGACACATAAAACTGTATGGTGTATTAAGTTGTGCTTAAACACTTACATCACTTCTAATACCTACTTAACATTCTCTTAAAGAAGAGACATTTGCTCTGAAGTAAACATATGTGAAGTCCAGTGTTTGCATATTTAAAATCAAAACCAAAAAAAGTGTTTTCTTTATCAACAGAAATCAGCCATAGAGTAATACCTAAGTACACCTGAAGTTACACAGAATCTAGCAGCTAAAATCTGCATTTACTAAAAGGAACTATTACTAAATTCTTTACATCTATTGCCAAGCAGTCATCACATTTTATGCTATCATTGGTTTGATCTTTTCTCACAGTTTTGTGAAATAATTTAATTGATAAAAAATAATATGTGGAAGTAAGTACAATACAGAGTGAAATATTTAAGAATAAAAATCCAAAAACAGTACCTTTAAACTAAAAAAAATACTTTCAATACTATTTGCCAAATTTTTAAAGGCATGTTAAATGTCTTTATCTTTCCTCTAATGTAAATGTTAATAATTATTACTCAAGTGAAATATTTTTATCAACTTCATATAATAATGTTTTCCAAAAATAACAATATTCCTTTCATTAGAATGACACCACATGTATTACAAATGATAATATACTACGTTAGTTTTATCTACTAGTTCCAGCGGAGTTATCATTCTAAAAATTACATTAATTTTAAAATATCACAGCGAATCAGGATTTATTTTGTGTATGAGTGTTTTTATTTTATTTTGAGTTCCAGGGTACATGTGCAGGGTGTGCAGGTTTGTTACATAGGTAAACACGTGCCACATTGGTTTGCTGCACCTATGAACCCATCATCTAGGTATTAAACCCAGCATGCATTAGCTATTTCTCCTGATACTCTCACTCTCCCAGAACCCCAAACAAGCCCCAGTGTGTGTTGTTCCCCACCCTGTGTCTACATGTTCACATTGCTCAGCTGCCACTTATAAGTGAGAACATGCAGTGTTTGATTTTCTGATCCTGTGTTAGTTTGCTGAGGATCATTGCTTCCAGCTCCATCCACATCCCTGCAAAGGACAAGATCTTGTTCCTTTTTATGGCTGCATAGTATTCCATGGTGTATATTTACCAGAGCAAATCAGGATTTATTACAAATTTTAGGGCTTCCTTACCTCTACCAATAAGTTTCTCAGCATCTAGTTTGGAGGGAACATATAATGTCACATTTTTGCAGGCATCACTGGCAAATATTAAAATCTAAAAAATGAAAAAAACAAATATGCATAAAAAGAAACCTTTAATGTGTATACCATTTATATAAATTATAAATTTATATATTATATACACATAAAAAGCATGTAATACTTATATAAGTATTAATTATATTACAATTGATTGACTACACTAATTAAATATTAATTTTAAAATATTTAATTAATTAGAAACATGAATTTATTTTTGTAGTCTTTTTTTTATTATTATGCTTTAAGTTCTAGGGTACATGTGCACAACATGCAGGTTTGTTACATATGTATACATGTGCCATGTTGGTGTGCTGCACCCATCAACTTGTTAGCACCCATTGACTCGTCATTTACATCAGTATAACTCCCAATGCCATCCCTCCCCTCTGTCCCCTCCCCACAATAGGCCCCAGTGTGTGATGTTCCCCTTCCAGTGTCCAAGTGATCTCATTGTTCAATTCCCACCTATGAGTGAGAACATGCGGTGTTTGGTTTTCTGTTCTTGCGATAGTTTGCTGAGAATGACGGTTTCCAGCTGCATCCATGTCCCTACAAAGGACACGAACTCATCCATTTTTTTGGCTGCATAGTATTCCATGGCGTATATGTGCCACATTTTCTTAATCCAGTCTGTCACTGATGGACATTTGGGTTGATTCCAAGTCTTTGCTATTGTGAATAGTGCTGCAATAAACATACGTGTGCATGTGTCTTTATAGCAGCATGATTTATAATCCTTTGGGTATATACCCAGTAATGGGATGGCTGGGTCATATGGTATTTCTAGTTCTATAATTACATGTGATTTATAATTATAAATCACTTTATATAATTATCAATCACTTTATATAATTATCAAAATAAAAACATTTTGGAGAAAGAAATCAGGACAAAAGTATATCAAGGGGAAGAATAAAACAACATACTGAGTTCTAGCTTCTTCCTGCAAAAAGCTTGTAAACTCAGAGAATTATGTATGCTCTTCAGCTTTGTTTCCTATACTGTAAAACAGATGTAATAATAACTTCACTGATTAGCTCAGTGACGATCCAACAACAGCCTATGTGAGAGAGTGCTGAAAACTATCAGGAAGGCAGCACAGGTATATCCATAGGAAAGAGAAAACCAAATTTACTGAGGCAGCAAACTGTTTCAGTACATTCTTAATTGCCTATGAGATATGATACCAAATCAATAATATACTAAATAAAAAGTCAATGCTTTTAAAGACAAACATTAACTTGTTGCCATGAAGTGATGATGGAGAGTATTTATGTGTTACTCCACACGATAGGCACATAACTTTGAAATATACAATTATTTTGAAGGTGTATCTTCTCATAAATAAAAGTTAAGTTCATTTTACAAAATAATTTACTTAAATTTTTTTAGTGGTTTAGTGATTCATGGTGAACCAAATCCAATGCAACATATACAAAAACACACTGAAATTTAATTTTGTTCTGACTGAAACTTTACAATGGATGTTTCTCAAAGATTCACATTCTTTTTTTCTAGTTTTACAAACATCTTTGACCAAAAGCAAGACAGTTAACTAGCATTTACACTGTTACTTACAAAGTTTATAAACATAAACTAAAATCATCAAAATTTGGATGGAAATGTTTATTTTTAATATATATTAAAGACTCTTTAATTATCCAGTTTTAATTACACTTGAAGGATCGAATAAAGCAGAGGTTGTGTTTCATTTGGAGTGTTGGGATAGACACAATAAAGACATTCATTTTGAACTGGAAATCAAATGATATGAAGAATTTTTACTGGCTGCATAGCCAAGAGAGAATAGGAGTAGAATCAGATGATTCCGAAGATTCCAGCTAAAGGTGATTGGAAGAATACATTCACTTATTCATTCAACCAACATTTACTGGTTGCTTACTAAGTGCTAAACAGATTCAATGGCGAGAGCAGTGAACAAAGCCAAGTCCTTGCCTCACAAAGATTACATGATAATAAGCAAAAGCAATACACAAATGCACAAATGTCACACAATGCCAAGGCAGCAAGAGATAAATGTCATGACAAAAATAAAGCAGGGAGAGAGGGTGACAATGAGAATACCTGAGTGTATATGAAGTGAGGAACTAGGAAAGAGTCTTCCAGGTGGGGCAAGAACCAGAGTAAAGACCCTGGAAGGAGACTTGTGTATTGCAGGAACAAGGTGGTCACAGTAGCAGAGCACAGTGAGGGAAGAGTGATAGGAGAAGAAAACAAAAGGACAGTCAAGGGCATATGATGTAGGGTCTAAAAGGTCATGGTAAGGAGCACAGATTTTGTTCTGAGTGCAAAGAGAGGCAACAGCATGATGAAGCTGTGGAGTGGCGTAAACCGATATTTATACAGAATCACTCTACTAGTTATGTGGAAAATAGGTTATAGAAGAGTAAGAGTGGAAGCCAGGAGACTGATGGGGAGACTACAGCAGGAATCTAAGACTGGGGTAATGGTTACTTGGGCTAAGGTAATAATGATGGAGAAGATAAAAAATGGTTGGATTACGACAATTCTTTGAATAACAGTATCTTGGACATCCATCCATTCATGCATGAATTCAACAAATACTTATTGAATGTGTATTATGTACCACCTACAGAGCAGTAAACATGGTCCTCATGAAACATTCAGTCCAAGAGTAAGACATATTTGTAATTTCAACAAAGTAAGACGAATGCAATGATAAGGAAGTACAGAGAGCTACAGGAGAGCAGAGGGAATAGTGATGTCTAAAAGCCGGGTGAGGTCACCTGAAGATCGGCTACAAGTGAGACAGGCTAAGAGGAGGCAGAGCTTCAATGTTGCAAACAAAAGAATGGCATATGTGAAGGCCCAGAGATGGCACAGACCTAAGAAGAAATCTGGAATGGTTGATATGTGTACCAGAGCGGGGGCAGAAGTTTAACATGCGCTCAAAGAAGTGGGTGTGGTCCAAATTTTGAACGGCATTAGCAAAGCACATGGATCTTTTTTCCCAATGATAATAAGAAACAAAGACTTACTTTAAGCAAATAAATTAAGTAAGCAGCTTTATGTTTGAATGTGATAGATCTGTCCAATGTGGAGAATGGAAATAACTGTCATTTCCAACAATAACAGGTTAGGTAATTAAGAAAAACCTATGCCAAAACTAATTAAAAATGATGCATAACATTTTTCAAACATCCTAAAGCATCAAAGAGCTACTAAAATAGCAAGCAACTGGTAGGCCAAAACTGAAGATAAAGCTGGAACACAGAGTGGTAAGAGGAACTCAGGAACAACTTCTGATCTGCAAAGATCTGACTCTGCTGTGTTGGCCTCTGGAGAGGAGAATGAAATCAAAGCACAGGGCCCACCTAAGATCTAAGAGGATCCACTCCACATTAATCTGGGACCCTAATGCTAAATCTTCATTACAGATTTGAGCCAGAAGTAAACTGGCCCTCGTGTGGATCTGTGATCCACACTCACATCTTTTACTTGGTCCAGAAACTTCAAGCCATGAATTTAAAGAAGGCTTGACATGTGATCACCATCATAGATGCAGAAAGGCACTCGACCAAATTCGATAACCATTCTTATCTTTTTTAGTCTCAAAAAATAAGAATTGATGAGTACTTTTGCAATGTGATCTTTATAAACTATAACACAACACAAATGGGAAAGCACTAGAAGCAATCCAATTAAACTCAGAAACAAGATAGGCTTTCCAAGGTCACCATATGTAGCTTACATTATATTAAAGGTATATTTGCAAGAGAAGGATATTAGATAGGAAGATGTAAAAAAAAAAATCTCTGCATTTGATATGACTGTTTACCTGGAAAACCCAAGCAAATCAACAATACATTACTATAAAACAAGAAGAGACTTAAGTAAGGAAGCAGAAATAACCATGAAAATATGGCAATCATTAGTCTTCATACCCATAAACAAAACCAGTCAGATAATATAAGAAATCATTTTCGGCCGGGCGCGGTGGCTCAAGCGAGGCCGAGACGGGCGGATCATGAGGTCAGAAGATCGAGACCATCCTGGCTAACACGGTGAAATCCCGTCTCTACTAAAAAATACAAAAAAAAACTAGCCGGGCGAGGTGGCTGGCGCCTGTAGTCCCAGCTACTCGGGAGGCTGAGGCAGGAGAATGGCGCAAACCCGGGAGGCGGAGCTTGCAGTGAGCTGAGATCCGGCCACTGCACTCCAGCCCGGGCAACAGAGCGAGACTCCGTCTCAAAAAAAAAAAAAAAAAAAAAAAAAAAATCATTTTCCACTTTGGGAGGCCAAGGCGGGAAGATCACGAGGTCAGGAGATCGAGACCATCCTGGCTAACACGGTGAAACCCTGTCTCTACTAAAAATCCCTATACAAAAAAAAAAATTAGCCAGGCATGGTGGCAGGCACCTGTAGTCCCAGCTATTCGGGAGGCTGAGGCAGGAGAACAGTGTGAACCCGGAAGGTGGAACTTGCAGTGAACAGAGATTGGGCCACTGCATTCTAGCCTGGGCAACAGAGCAAGACTCAGTCTCAAAAAAAAAGAAATCATCTTCAAAAGCAATTAAAAGTTGAAATGCCAAGGAGTAAATTTAACAAGAAACATGTAAAGCCTATTTGAAGGAAACCTGAAAACATTTCTGCAGGGCAGAAAAGTACACTTGCAAAAAAAGAAAGACAAAAATCAATAGCGTATCTATATCAATTCTTACTAAGTTAAATTACAAATTTTTGATACCAACAAAAACCTCAATAAAATTTTCTCTGGAACTAAACAAGTTGATTTAAAAAGCCATAAGGAAAAAATTAAAAATTAAGATAGGAAAATTATTTTTTGAAAAGCAATGAAAGGCTATCAACCCTAGCAGATATTACAAATCATAAAATCTCAACAATTAAATGAATATGGTACTGGCATATGAATAGAATGATATTTGAAGCACAGGTATTAGAAAAGAGGTAAAACAATTTGTATTTGCATTCTGTATGACTGCATAAAGTCCGGAAAAGTTGTAACCTTTTATTACACCCACCAACAATTTATGAGTCAACCATTCTTGCCTACATAGCATGTTGTTGAACTTTTGGGTGTTTGCCAAGTGTGAAATGTCATTTCCATGCAATTTTTATTCATATTTTATTATGAGTGAGGTTGACATATTTTTATAGCTTAAGAGCCATTTTACTACTTTATGGATACTGTTACATCCATGTTGCACTTTTTCTTCTTGAGTTACAAGAGCTCTTTATGTATTAGATTAACCTTTTAAATATGACTTATGAATATTTTTTCCAGTTTATCAATCACCTTTTGACTTTGCTTGTGGTGTTTAGGGTTGGTTAGAGTTGTTTTTTTGCCATGAAGAAGTATGTATATATGTACTCTCATATAATTGATTTTCTCAACTGTTAATAAATTGGCTTTCGAAATCTAAGTCATAACTAGGCCTCGTGGGCTCCAAATTTATATACCAATTTATTATGTTTTCTTCTATTATCTATAGGGAATCATATTTTACATTTAAATCTTTCATCTCTGGAATTTTCTATGGTGTTCCAAATGAAGCATAGATTCAATTTATCTTTACACCTATATATATATATATATCTCCCCGATCATGTGATATCTATCATAAAATAGTTTTCTGTCTAGTAATATACAACATTTATGGAGGGAAGAACAAAATCTAACAAAATTAGACACTTTTTTTTTTTTTTGACAGAGTGCAGTGGTGCGATCTCACTGAAACCTCCACCTCCTGGGTTCAAGTGATCCTCCCACCTCAGCCTCCCAAGTAGATGGAATTATAGGCATGCACCACCATGCCTGGCTAATTTTTGTATTTTTTGTAGAGAGGGGTTTTTGCCATGTTGCCCAGTCTGGTCTTGAACTCCTGAGCTCAAGTGATCCTCCCACCTCAGGCTCCCAAAGTGCTGAGATTTACAGACGTGAGCCACTGCACCTGGCCTAATTTACACTTTTATTTGTAAATCCCATTACTGGTAATCTGTCCTACTAATACACCTGCCCATATATGAAATGACATACATTCAAGTTTATTCATTGTGACATTATTTGTGATAGCAGAAGTGACAGATACAAGTGAATAGACCCATAAGTTGTCTTTGAATGTAGATTTAATGGAACTTGATGGATTAAGGAAGGGAGCAGTGAAAAAGAAAAAACAAACAGCTTTCAGACTTCCTACTTGAGGAACAGGCATATGGTACTGACACATACTGAAATACAGCACACGAAAAGAAAAACAACATTGTTTGGGAAGATAAAAAATGTTGTGTCACACATCACAGTCAGTAGAGTGATACAAAGGACTATTGTTCAATGAAGACATCTGAACTAGCAATATTAATTTAGTGTATGTTGGCAACTGTGTGATATTTTAAGCTATAAAAGTGGATTAAATGCCCTAGGGAAAGAGGGTAGATTCCAAAGGACAAGACCTAGAACAGAGAGCATCAAGAGACACCAGCATTTAAGAGTGGAGGAAAAAGCAGTCAAACTCATAGAAGCAGAAAGTAGAATGGTGGTTGCCAGGTGACGGAGGGTAGGGGAAATAGGGATTTGCTGTTCAATGGATATAAAAGTTTGGTTATGGAAAATGAAAAAGTTCTAGAGATCTGCTATATGACATTGTGCTTACAATTAACAATACAATATACTTAGAAATGCGTTAGGAGGGTAGATCTCATGTTATATCATTTTTACCAAACCAAAAAAAGAAAAAAAAAATAGACAAGACAAAAAAGAAGAAAAAGACAAGACACTAGGTAGAGAGTCAGACCCTGAGTGGTCAGAAAGATTTAAAAAAAAAAAAGGGGAGTGAGTGTCAAGAATAAGGGCAAAAGCTACAAGGTGGAACCATATAAAGAATGAGTCATTTGGATTTAGCACAGGAGAGCCAGTGATCTCAGAGAGAGAGAAGCTTTATTATGTGGTTAGCAGAAGACAGAGTTCAAGTGGCTAAGCCAGGTGTGGTTTGAAGAAACATTAGGAAGTGAGGAGAAGCTGATTTGTGGAATGATGAAGGATTACTTGGGTATATGGGAAGGAGGTAATGTAAAGAATCCTACACCCCTCCCAAAGTCATTTCTCCCCAATTTTTGAGACAGGATTTCACTCTGTCACCAAGGCTGGGATGCATTGGCATGACCAGGGCTCACTGCAGCCTGGACCTCCCAAGTTCAAGCGATCCTCCCATCTTAGCCTCTCTCCAGTGGCTTGGACCACAGGCGCACACCCCATGCCCAGCTAAAATCATTCTTGCTTAATAATTTCTTACACTTAGTATTTACACATTTCTCACACTTGAGACTCACAACCACAACAGCCACGTTGAGGTTGGCAGCGGTTTGCACAGACGTGCACAGAGCAAAAACCAGCAGAATGAGAGTGTAGCCAGCGCCAGCACACTTCCTACCCCACTCACTGATACCCCACCTTCTCCTAAACAGAATCTGAGATGACATACAGAAAGCTCTATCTGCAGGTATATGCAGAGCAATGCTACTACGCATTGCCAGTGTCTGTGCATGCCTTTTCCTTTCAAGAATAATGGCCAGTGGTTTTAAAAGAAATTGCAATTTTATTAGGAGTCTAATGAAAATTTATTTCTTACTCATCAACATATGTTCTTACCGTTATTTATTCCATTCTTAGTTTCCTCATCTGTAAAATGTTAACTGCTGTGTACTTGGCCCTTTCTGTATTATTAATATGCCCTGGGAATTTAGTTAAGGGTTTGAAGTCCATTCAGCTCTTCGAGAAAGACATTCTAATAGTCGTAACAATTACCAATTCATGATTTTAAAATGTGGAACTCCACTGCGAAATGAGAGCCGAAGAGAAGGGGAAAGTATACGAACATTTCAGCCCCCAGTTCCCTTCCTTCTCCCAGTGGGAATTAGCCTTCCGGGTTCCTCCCTCTGTCCTTCAAGGTTGATTGGCACCCAATGCCTTTTGCTCAAGGCAAGGAGCACTTTTCCACACCTGTCGAATTGCTTCGTCTTCCAGGAAGCCAGGAAAAGTCCAATCAGGCTTTTTATATCCCACATTCCCCAGAGGCTGCTCCCGGCATTGGCTTTCTGTGTCTTCAGGCCTCCAACGAGATCCTATCTGTCCAGCCTGGGAGTGGGGCTGTCCCGCCCCAAATAAGGCCAAACACTTAGGCTCCCAGCTCTGGGAAGGGGTAGGGTCATTGCTGTAGTGTTCTTTAAAGAGGGAAAGAATCTGGGGCAAGGGGTGGTGGCGCGGGGAGCCAGTGGTGAGCAGAAAAATCGAGTCGCCTCTGTGGACAAGAAATCAGAAAGACCCTTCCTTCCTCCAAAGATTTAGGGAACTGAAGCCTCGCACGTTAAGAAACCACTGAAACTGTACAAATGTTCACCTACAGCCCGCCCGTCCACAGTCTTCAGGAGCAGAGGGTCAAGATCCCCTCTCCCACCCGCCACTTCCCCCCGCCCTTCTCCCAGAGTAAGCAATTCCCAGAAAGGCAAGCAGTTCCCTTTTTCACCCAAGGACACCCGCGCTCCGTCCCGGCCGCCCAGCGATTCCCCTTTCCGTGGCCTGGGCAGGCGCTGAGGCAGAGGGGGCCGCACATTCCCGGAGAAGGTGCCAGAGGCGCAGCTGGACCGCTCCGGCGCACTTCGGCCCCGGCGCACACCCGCCCCGGCGCACCCCCAGCCCCGGCGCACCCCAGCCCCGGCGCACCCAGCTCCCCGGCGCGTACCCAGGGGCCACGGTTTTGCCTGGGCGAAGGCGGCCCGCTCCTGCCTGAGTGCGCTGATTACATCTACTGGAGACACCTTCCCTCCCCTTGGGGATCCAACTCCCAGGTCGCGATCCTCTTCCTATCTGCCCTCCCCCACCCCCGCCAACTCCATTTTCTAGCCACCCAGAGGCCCCTTCACCCCAGCTTTTCCCCGCCACCCCCAACTATCCCCGTTCCCCTAGTTTTCCTCCGTACCCCAGGCGATCGCCCCCTTCCCCGGAGCGGTGACCGCTGCTGCACTCACCGCGAGGGTCAGCAGGAGCAGCCGGCAGAGGGCTCCGCTCCAGGAGCCGGAGGGGCGGGCTGCCGCCATGGAGAGGGTTCGGGACAGATCGCGGGCCGAGCGTCGGGCCGGGGTAGGAGGACTCGGCGGGGCGAGGACCGCGGCCGGGGCACAGGCTGGGCCCGCTGCTCAGGAGGAGCGCGAGGCGGAGGAGGTGGCGCGCGCGGAGACGCGCTTTTCTCAGCTTCTCTGAAGCGCCTGCCTCTCATCCAAGGGGCTTTTCCTTTGGCGGAGGGTGGGGCTCCTGGCGCGTCCAAAAGACACCGAACGGCCCCTCCTTGTTGTCTGTTTAAGACTTAAGACTTCATTTCTCTAAGAAAGCCATGGGTGGGAACTCCCTCTCGCCGCCACCCTTTTACCTGCGCAAGGTGTTTCTCACCAGCGGACGCCACCTATAAGGGCCATCTCCCCCCCCACGCCCCGGTGTCCGCCAGGCGAGATTAACAGCCTGCCCTGCCCAGCAGAAGCCCTGACTGCACAAAGACTCACTCCTGAGCGCGCGCTCGGCCCCGGCTCCGCCCTGCCCGCTGCCCTTCGCGCCGGCCGTGGTCCCTGCCCTGGGGTCAATTACAGAGCGAGGTCTGAGCCGCAGAGGCTGGGTTTTAGGTCACAGCTGCCTGAGGCCCACCTGATAGAAAGTTGACTCCAAGGAGACTGTTACATGCTCTACTGGAGTGAATTTCCTACACACACCCACAAGCAGTTCAGACATCATAGTCATCTGAGGCACCATTCTTTGGGGTCTTGTGTTTTTAGGAATTTACTGGCATGACAATGATACAAGACAATCGCCATAATTTAGAGACAAAAATACATATATACATACATATATACGTAAAGTTAGGGAATCAAGACGACTGCAAAATAATAAAATCGAGGGTGAATTACTATGGGAAACGCATCCATTGAGGTCCTAGGCGTGGGCTACACGTGTGTTACTGATTTTGTCCAAGAACATCCCTGATCACAAATAAAGTTATAACTTATTTCCTATACCGGACTCCTGAACATCTAGTGGAGAGTTCTCACCTTCTTTACTACCATGAAAACCAGAGATCATGGTGAGAAATGAATAAGAATGGGATAATTTACATTTTTATTTGAAGTGCACTTAAACTAAACGAATTATTGCAGAACATAATCTGGAAGATTAAGATATAAACGCTGTGTTCTTTTGGCTCTTCAGAAAGCAATGACAAGGCATCTGACTCATCCTCCTGCACCTTTTTTCAATTACTGACTTAAACCAGGTAAGCCCGACCACAAAAGGAGAAACTTGTCTATTCCCTTTTGTTTGGTTTAAGTTTCCTCAGGGATGTCCTGAGAATCCTATTTGCAAAGCCAACTGTGACACTCACACCATTTCAATTCTTGAAAACGTTCACCATCTTAATACCATTATACGCTGAGCCAGAATTATTGCAATACTGAGCGTATATTTAAATTAAAAATGAATGTGAAACAGCACATGCCTTACATTCTGTGTGTCTGTCCCATGCTCTATTTTATTAATGAATGTCACTAATCAGCTGTTCTGTCTCCATATCCATAAAATTATCATTGACCCTTTGCTAGTAAAATAAGCCTGAGTCATCAGCATGAGGCATGAGACTATAGTTGACATCCTTCCATTTCCATATTTTTTAACACTCATGGTTTTCCATCAACGATACCATAAGCACACCTCATCCTATTAATGATGACGTCATGATCTCTAGCACGAAGCTTTTTCAGAGGACAAAAAGAAAGCTAATTTCAGGTTCTGGAGATCTACTCAGACTATCATCATAGGCTTTGACTACCGGACATTTCCAAACTCTTGCCTACTCTTTAACCTCTGATGCCTTAAGGGCAGCTCATGTTTTTCCTCATTCCAGGAAAGGGTGGAAGAGCAATTTGACCAGAATTCATCTTAGATATTTCTTTTCCTCTTTCACATTGATTGACAGAGGCTATTAAAATGGTGATTTGTTTGTTTTATCACCAAAAAAAACTTTAAACAAAAGAATGGAATATAAAGTACTTTCTCTGAACAAGTACCCAATTTATTTAATGTGTTTAGGTTAGGCTATATGGTCACTGAAATAGATCCCTCTAGAACATAGGTTTGAAACAAAGGGCATATATTTAAAAATGCAATGGAATGTGAGTAGATGTGATTTTTTTTTAAAAAAAAGAATGACTTTTGTTTATGAATATGATTCTGCTGCATGAACTAGTTTCCCAATAAAAATATACTTTTTATAGTAAAAAGTACACCAGAGCAAAAGAAGCAACTTCCTTTGTGTTGCTTAAGTAATAATCTCTCAGGTCTCAACACTCCCATTTGTCCATCTGTTAAGTGAGATAGTCAATAATAATAAGGTAATACCGGAGGCTATCTATGGTACTTTCTACATCTAAAATTAAACTATTTAGACTGCTTATGACAGATTTTTGAGAAGCTTGGCTGGAAATGGGTGTTCATTTCAGAGATAACATAAAAAGTCAGGGCCAGAGCAGTCCTTAAAGAAGTGAACAATTTGCAGTCCAAAGCCCACAGGCCAAATCTATCCAGCCTAACTTCACAATTTTAATTTCAGAGACCAGAAACTATTAAGGGCAGCAACAACCAAAAAAATCCCACTGACTCACTGATGAGCAAATAGAGACGCTCTCCATGAGCTTTGTGAATCCTGCCAGTTCCTCCCCTGCCAGCACCAGAGGATGAGTGATCCACAGGGACAGATGTCATCTTCAGGGCGAAACCATCTCAGCATGGCATATGACATAGAATGGAATTCAAAAGCAAGGGAAACACAAACCTAACAGGCAAAAAAGCAAGATTAAAGGACATTGTCTAGTTGCTTCATAGGTTGGAGCATAAAGGGAAACATCTGCTAATCACAATAAAATAAGCACAATTTTTTAACCTCTCAGAGTTGTTGCAAGAATTAAATGATATCAAGGCACTCAGAACAAGGCCTGGCACATTCTAAGTGCTCCCTCAGTGTCAGTTATTATGAACATCCATCTTCCCTGCCATTGTACTACCACATCTCTCTGATCCATTCACTTCCTCCTCATGACAGCTCCCTATTTCCTGTCCTTCCAGTACCTCTCCTCAGAGAGTTCTCTGTCCTGGTCTAGGGCTGAACCCTAGTGCTAATTCATTCACCTTCAACCCCCTCTCTTCAACACTAACCCCAGATCTTGTCTGTTAATAAATGAATTAACAATGTAATACTAAGATGAGCTGTGCAGTTTGCATCAGTCGTGTACTCTTTGAAAATTTGAACCAATTCTTTAAAAACAATCCTCAATTTAAGAAAAAGTTTTAAAGTTCTGTGTTTTCCAACAAATGCTATCTTTACTTTTTAATGCTATGTATATTTCTTGGAACTTCACTTTTCAGAATTGATCTCAGTGAAACATAGTATACTAATCAAGTTCAATTTCTATTACATTTCAAAGTTTTTGTTTGTTTGTTTGTTTGTTTATTTTATGGAGTCTCGCTGTGTCGCCCAGGCTGGAGTGCAGTGGCACGATCTCCGCTCACTGCAAGCTCAGCCTCCCAGGTTCAAGTAATCACTTTTCTGCCTCAACCTCCTGAGTAACCAGGACTACAGGTGCCCACCACCATGCCCAGCTAATTTTTTTTTTTTTTTTGTAGTTTTAGTAGAGACAGGGTTTTGCCATGTTGGCCAGGCTGGTCTCAAACTTCCGACCTCCGGTGATCTGTCTGCATCGGCTCCCAAACTGCTGGGATTGCAGGCATGAGCCACCGCACACAGCCTGCCTCTATATATTGCTGTGTACAAATACATCTGCATTGTTTCAAACCCTTGCACTCACAAGGCTCCGTCTGCTATAAGTACTTTGTACACGCCCTTTCCTCTTTCCTAGAACCTTCTTCTATCTCTCTGGCCTAGTTAACTCCCATTCACCCTACAAATCTCAGCTTTTATTTTCTTCCTCACCCAGTCAAACCTTCCACATTAAACCACTGCCTCTCATGGAGAGCACTTGTCACAATTGCAATGTTAAATTTGTTCAAATAATTATTTGATTAATACTTGCTTCTCACCAAAGACTACATTTCCATGATTGTAGTAATCCTTTTTATGTTCACCCTTGTATTATCAGCATTACCATGACTCCTGATTCATAGTAGACACTTAATAAATATTTGCTGAATGAGTGAGCAAATGAATAAATAAATGACAAATGAGCATTTCTGACAAGCAATTCTTTGTTTTCCTTTTTCTATTCTAGTGTTTATTGGCATATTAAAGTGATGTCTTGGGCCACATTTGATAGGGTGGGAGTTCCTAGTCTAATCTCAAATATGCTGGACATATGTTATAGTAGTATATTAATAAAATATGAGATGGGACTACTAAACATTTCTAGTATGGCTTTTGCACAAGAACACACAAATATGCTTATGAATTTTAACTTAGAACTCCAAAGAGACCTGTATATAAATGGATACTTAATATCTGATAAAAGTGGCAGCAGATAGCATGAAGAAAATAAGGAATTATTTAGTGGTGGCATTGGGAAAACAGATTCATTATTGGAGAAAAATAAAATTGGTCCCCTACACAACCAATTTTATATTTATACATATGCTGTGGTGGAAGATACACAAAGTTAATGAAAAATAATACATGAGAACATCAGTGTTACACAGAGGCAGGAAAAGAGTTTTGAACTAAAACCTAAAAAGCATATACCATATAGGAATAAAAAAATATATACTTGATTACATTAAAATGCAGGCTTTCATTTGACAGAGGACACATAAATAAAGTTAATAAACAGATGATGGATTGGGAGAAGACGTTTTTCATGACTAAAACAGATGAGAGAATAATATCTAGAAAATACAAGGATCTCCTACATGTCAACTAGAATGTGGCAGAACCACAACAGAAAAAGATGGGCAAAGAGTATTACGAGGCATACTGTTACAACAGAGGAATCTGAAGCCTACCAAGTATATTTCAAGAAATCTGAGAAAGGCACATCAAAGTCATAAAATATCCTTCTATACTTATTTGGCAAAAATTAGGAAGCTAATAGTAAATGTTAATAGGAATGTGGATGTTTGGGAAGCCTGGTGCATTGTTGGTAGAATTATAAATTTGATCAAACATTCAGGACAGTAGCCTAACAATGATTGTTCAAGGTAATATATTAAACCCTATAGCCCAGCAATTTATCTCTTGGCTAATAACCCAGAAGAATTCTCACTGAAGTCTATGAAGGGATGGTTTGCTGTCGAGGGAGCTGGGAGCAATCTGGGTTACCATCCTTGGAAAGAAGAAAAACTATGGTGGCAGATCCACCCCATGGATCACTGTGCAAAGTTAGAACCAATAGGCTACCTACATATGGCAATATGAATGGATCTTAAAAACATAGAACCCAGTGAAATAACTAAAAATAGAATATTTCTACGTTCAATATAAATAATATAAACTTAAAAAGACAAAA